ATTCTTAAAGCTTTTCCCACACTGGGCACACTGGTACAGGCCCTCCACAAGGTGGACTTACCAGTGATCGCTAAATGGGAGCTTGTTGACTCTCTTCCCACAGATAGTGCACTGATAAGGCTTCTCTCCAGTGTAGGTCCTCTGGTGGACAATGAGGCTGGAGCTCTGGTTGAAGCTTTTCCCACATTCCACACACTAGTATGGTCTTTCCCCTGTGTGAGTCCTCAGGTGGGCAGTGAGGTTGGAGTGTTCATTGAAGCCTTTCCCATATTCACAGTATTTGTGAGGCTTCTCTGTGGATTCTGATGCCGAACAAGGTAAAAAAAACTCAGCTAAAGCTTTTCCCACATTCATGAAATCTAGAAGCTTTTTCCAGTTCAGGGGCTGGCTGGTGATGAGAGGAGAGAAAACTCTGAGAGTATTCTCTCCCACACAAGAGATGTGTCCAGGGTTTCTCAGTCCAAAATCTCTGGTGACATCCTCTCCTGGGATGGGGCTGTCTCCTCACTCTCCCCTGGACAATGTCTATGTTGCTTTCTTGTCCTTGGTTCACGCTCCTAGCCTGTTTTGAACTCAAAGTGCCAAAAAACTTTTCTACTAAACTTCCTCCGTAAATCCTTGTTCATTTCTACTACTTCTGAATCATCTCATTTTAGATTCTCTTTTGTAACCCCATTCTTCATTTCAGAACCTGAAAGAATAAAATTACATTGGACTCTGGAGAAGGAAAACAATGGAATGAGGAAAGAGTTACAATTAAACTACCATAAAGAAGAAATACCTAATTGAATTCTTCATGTGACTAAGTCTTCTGCTAAATTTTATTTTCCAGTTGTAACACTTTTTACCTCCAAATTTGTGGTCACCCTACTTTTCTTGGGTGAGGATTAAAAAATAAAAAATAAAAATAAAATAAAACAAAATAGCTCTGCTCTAACCTGGGGTGGGGCAGAGTCAGGATGATAGTTATCAGGTCAGAGGCAAAGCAAGGTAAGGGAGGCATGGCCTCTTTGGGAAGGATTAGGGTAGGTAAGCAGCATGTGATGCCCGAGTAGACAGAATAAGAAAACAACCCACGACAAGCTCAATGGACAACATAAAATTCTTTTTTTTTTAATATATATTTTATTGATTTTTTACAGAGAGAAAGGGAGAGAGATAGAGAGTTAGAAACATCGATGAGGGAGAGACATCGATCAGCTGCCTCCTGCACATCTCCTACTGGGGATGTGCCCACAACCCAGGTACATGCCCTTGACCGGAATCGAACCTGGGACCTTTCAGTCCGCAGGCCGACGCTCTATCCACTGAGCCAAAACGGTTTCGGCCATAAAATTCTTTATAACATCTCTGGGAAAGAATGAGTTTTAGAGTGAGTCAGTACAAACTGAAATGGGAACTTCAAGAGACAAATAACATCAACCACAGCTCACCTGATCTCCGTGGTACAGAGCCCAGCACCATCTCCTGGCTTTGAAGACCCCTCTTCTGGAGAGGGTTCCTGGCAGCCTGTGGAGTAAACCAGGTTAGGGAGAAATATCCACTATTAGAGGGCAGCTTCCACTAACAGAGGTTCTGAGTGGGATCCCTGGGCCAACAGCATCAGCACTACCTGGGAACCTGTTACACGTGCATATTCCCAGGACCCACCTCAGATCTGAGAAAGTCTGGAAATGATGCCTGGGAATCTATTTTAACATGTCCCTAGATGAGTATGATGCAGAGTCAAGTCTGAGGAAGACTTTCATAGCCAATACCTCACTGCATGTGGAGAAGTTAATTTTACTAGATGATTATTTGCAAAACAGTTTTAAGTTTTTTTTCATTCCAAAGAAATATGTGCACATTATAGAAAAAAATTTTTAATATATTTTATTGATTTTTTTACAGAAAGGAAGGGAGAGGGAAAGTCAGAAACATCGATGAGAGAAATATCAATCAGCTGCCTCCTGCACACCCCCTACTGGGAATGTGCCCACAACCAAGGTACATGCCCTTGCCTGGAATGGAACCTGGGACCCTTCAGTCCGCAGGCTGACCCTCCATCCACTGAGCCAAACCAGTTAGGGTTATTGAAAAATTTTAAGACAATAAGGGTGGTGGTGGGAAGTGTCTCACAGCCAAATACTAGAGATAACTAAATACTCTTAAAAATACAACAACTCAAACCTCTTATTTTTTCCAGACCAAGATTATTCTTTCCCAGATCCCACCTTCAAGAATTCTACAAAAGAAATGGTTCATTTTGATGACATACAGAGGTCTGTGGACTTGGGGAGGTTACAACACTTGGGATCTGAGCGGCCTGTGGGCATGGTGAGTGACGGGAGCAGAACTCCCTTCACAATCTAAGTCAAGGACCCAAAGCATTAGAGATATGAAAAAAACATAGTTTTCTCCCAGCCAGATTTCTCTCTTTTAATGAATTCTTCAAACTACTCAGTGTAGTTCAGCTGTCCACTCTGTCTGGGTCTTGTCCCTGCCCTTCCCCACCCTCAAGAAGCCTGGACCCACCTTTCCAATTGTCACTTTCTCTTAAGGAGGGAGTACTATGTGAGAGCCTCTGGATTAACCTCTTTATCACTGTGATACCCTCCTCCCTATCACCACCACCACCACACACAATGTGTATGATAGATGACTGTTCTGGTTTGCTGTATGTTGCTCCCCCCTTCCCCACCCAGCATTCCTTCCCCACTTCTGATAGCCAAAGTAATCTTTTCTGTCATAGAAGGGAGTTTAGGCAATCACCATTTTGGTTTGTGTGACTTGACAACTGCCATTTTGAAACTGCAAAGGTCAACCCCTCCCTTTTTCCTTTAAATTAGCCAATTGTGCAAGAATGTGAGCCTAAACTCTGACCAATCAAGAGTGAGGGAAAGATGGCAGGCTTCAGAGATAAAACCCCAAGTGGACTGCCCGCTCAGTGTGCATGATTACCAAATCCTGTGTTGGTTGCCCACCTTCCTGCAGAAGTAAAGATATTTGCCTTGTCTGGCTCCCAAGTATCCTTTGTGTTCTACTAGGACCCTTGGTTTTGGGGCTCACCTTCTTTCTAACATGAATTACCAACTGAGGTCCAGCTGAGACATATCAAGGAAGGACAGAAAATGTCTGGAGACCAGTAGGAAGGGTGAGGTTGTGAGAGGGGATGACCCAGCTTCCAGGGGTGGCAGGCCAGCAGGGGCTGAGAGAGAGGAGGCATGTCCAGGTTACAGGAGGGTCTGTTCCCTCAGAAGATATAGGCCAAGAACCCAGGCTCGTCTCCACAGCTTGCAGCATCAGAGTCTAGACCTGTAGCCTCTGTAACATTCAGCCATGAAAGGCGGCAGGGCTACTGGTCACAGCAGAGCCTGGAGCCAGCAGACCAGAGCCAGTCAGAGAGAAATCCACAATTTCATTCTTTTTTTTTTTAACACAGAGCACAGGAGTTCTCATCTGCAGCTAGTCACCTGAGGCTTTGGTGCAGGGAGGGAGGTGCAGACTTGAGGTGCCTAAGGAAAGACTGAGGTGGGAAGCATTGCGGGGAGACTTGGAAAAACAACAGCCAGGAGCATTTGGTTGTAGGCACCCAAACTGAAACAGCCATTTTCTTCTGAGAGGAGTTAGCTGTTCCTCCTAGCTGCCGGGCAGGAAAAGAACCCTGCCCTAGGTTATACACCTTGCCCCAACCTCAGGAGTCCTGCATGCCACAACCTGCATTTTGAGCTTTTCAGAGGAAATAAAAGCAGAGGCCAAACTTACAAGTTTGAACAGTTTCAAGGACCTCTCAGTGACTGGATTGGGAGAGGGCCATCTGCCCTACTATCCTGGGAAACAGACTGGTACTTTCCCTGAATAGGAGAAGTGGTAAAAACTCGAGGTTTCCAGCCAACCCTGTTGGTCTTCCTAGAAGGATCTCTATCCAGCCAATGGCAGAGTAGTATTATGGGCCACTCATGGAGGAGTATCTCTGGGACAGGGAAACACCCACCATATTCCTTCCTTCCTATATCTCCTCCTCAGCAGCACCTCCCCCACCTAAAGCCGGTTAGAAACAGACCTTTGAGTGACTAAGATTAAAGGCATGCAAAGGCAAGCAGAGGCGGAGCAGGCAAAGAATAAGAATGACAATAAATAAGTGCCTATGAATAATAACCGTAAATGTAAATGGCTTAAATGCTCCAATCAAAAGACATTAGGTAGCTGAAAGGATAAGAAAACATGACCCATATATATGCAGTCTACAAGAGACCCACCTCAGCACAAAGGACTCATACAAACTGAAAGTGAAGGGATGGAAAAAAAATTTTCAGGCAAATGGAAATGAACAACAACAACAAAAAGCTGGGGTAGCAATACTCATATCTGACAAAATAGAATTCAAAGTGAAGGCCATAATAAGAGATAATGAAGGCCACTGCATAATATTAAAAGAATCGATACAACAAGAGGATATAACTCTGGTAAACATATATGCACCCAATACAGGAGCATCCAGATATATTTAAAAAAAAACTTTTGGAGGATTTTAAGGGAGAGATTGATAGCAATACAATCATAGTAAGGGACTATAACACCCCACTGACATCACTGAATAGATCTTCTAGACAAAAAATAAACAAGGAAACAGTGACCCTAAACAACACACTTGATCAGATGGCATTAATTGACATTTTCAGAATAATCATCCCAAAGCTACAGAATATACATTCTTCTCAAGTGCACATGGACATTTTCAAAGACACACCGCATGTTAGGATACAAACTAAGTCTCTACAAGTTCAAGAAGACATATCAAGCATATTCTCAGATCACAAAGAACCTAGAAATCAACTACAATAAAAACACTCAAAAACATTCAAACACATGGAGGCTAAATAGCATGCAATTAACAAATGGGTTACCAAAGAGATCAAAGAATTAAAAAACATCCTGAAAGCAGTCCTGAGGGAAATTCCTACCACTAGGCCTTGTTATGCCCAGATTTCAAGATCCCCAAAGACCACCAGGGAGCCGAGTCCGATGCAAAAGCAAAGAGCCTTTATTCAAGCTCGAGCTCGGTCTCTCCACCTCTACCGATGCAGCGGCAGGATTCAAGAGAGCCCCGAGCTTCAGGAGAACAAAGAGTTTATAGGGCTTGGGGTCAGGAGGTGGGGTGATACTCGGACCACTGAGTTGGCCGATTCTGATTGGCTGGGTGGGGGCTAGGGTCTATTGACACAAAGGCAGGATGCGGCCAGGGTCCAGTTACACAAAGACAGGATGTGGCTAGCATATTTCTGGCCTTAGGTTAGTTCCTCTTGCATTCCTATTGGCTGATTTAAGGGGGTGGGGGAAGCAGGGTTAAGCAATTGGTGCATTCTGTGGCTTTTCTTGGAAAAAGGTCATGTTGGGGACATAGTTACACAAGATGGAGGATACGACACAAAATGGAGTTAGTCCTGCTTTGCCCTTTCATTCTCCCCTTGTCTTGAAATTTATAGGCCCAATCATGGGATGGACTGCATTTCTACCTCGCCTTCTGCTACTAGAGCCGGTACTGAGTGCACAAAACCATCAACTCAACCGCCCCTATGTGCTCTTTGACAAATTGGACTAGATGGTTGATAATGCAAGGGCTGAAGGTCAATAGCATGAGTAAAATTATAAAGGGTCCAGCGAGGGCAGAAATAAGAGTGGTTAACCACAGGGACCAATTAAATAATGATTCATACCAAGACTGGGATTGCTCCCTCTCTAGCTTCCGTTTCTGCAATCCCTCTCTTATGAGGGCCTTGGACTCCTTTATAACTCCCAAATGATCAACATAAAAACAACACTCCTCCCCTAGGGCAGCACATAAGCCTCCTTGCTGCATGAACAGTAAGTCTAATCCTCTTCTGTTCTGGAGTATTACTTCAGATAAGTAAGAGATTCTTACAGATGGGTAATGGACTTCTCGATTCTTTCTATATCTAGGTCTATGGCTGCTCTTAGGGTTTCATAGTTCTTGTCCTGTATAACAAGCGAGGATATCCTGGTTCCTGCTCCCGCTAGTCCCAGCCCCAGGAGCGCAGCCAGGGTCAGGGATGTGACAGGTTCTCTCCTGCTTCGGGAGCTAGCAGAGCCTATCCTGCTGAGGACTTCCTCCCCCGAATGGTACACTAGCTTAGGAATTAGCTGGATGAGTATGCAAAAGCCTTCTTTTGAGGAGTGGAGGATTTGGGAGTGAACGCAGGGAGCGAGGCCACTAGAACAGGCCCACCATGCATTTTCGGCAGGGAGCAGGTAAGCTGTCCCATTAGGGACTGTTAGTGTTATTACAAAGATGTGATTGTTCAGGGGACACTCGGCCTATGCAAGTACCTTGCCCTATTACTGCCTGGAGGGTTAGTCCTGCAGTGGCCTGCTGCTACCTGCAGGAGCTGGAATTAGAGGCCGTTGTATAATTGCCTCTAATAGCAATGCCTTCGTAATATGGTGGCCGGACATCTAAACAGAGCCAACAGGACACGGTCAGGTCAGGTCGGGAAGCGTTCAGCACATGATATGCTCCCATAACTATGGTCCATAGGGGTCTGTGTCAGACGTTGAGGTGCGGACTGGGGTTGGGGATGTGGAGGATGCCCCAGTAGGGCCAAGGGATGCAGAGGGCTGTGAGGCCAGGGCCCGGGTGCTCTTGGGCGGGGACGCCCGGGTAGAGGCGGGTTGGGGGGCCAGTACTTGGTTAGGCCCTACTCCTGCTGGAGCCTGTTGGGAGAGAGGTGCCACCCGTACCCGAAGAGTGAACAGTCTCCCGTGGTCCATATACCCGACCCTAGTCTTACCATAGAAACATATTCCCCAGGTCTTACCGGTGTCCCACCCTGTCCTTGCTCCGTGAAAGATATTCTCACGGGGTTACAAGGATTACCTTCTCGGTCGCATGGCGGGCTATTTGGCCGCCTGATGGTAATTAGATCACCCGTTTTCGGGGGAGTCCACCATATATGTCCCATTGAGACACACAACCAGGAGGCACAGAAATAGTCCTCCGCTCCTCCCCATTGGTTGGTCCTGGGTGCGGCCTCGTGGAGTCCGAGAGTGCGAATCCGGGGTCGTATTGGACGTGAATGAGGGAAAGCAGGTCTACATAGAGGTCCGGGTACCAAGTGTCTTTAGGGCTCAACTGGGAGGTCTGATTAAGTACAGTCCCCGAACTGGTGTCTATGATTTGCCAAGTAAGGTAACGGGGGACGTGGGGACTCCTGGTGGCATGAGTGGCCGCGAGCAAGGTTACCAGTATCAGGCAGGTCGAGTACGCCGTAGCTTGAGCTTGAGCAGGTTGTGCTGATTGTAATCGAGGCTCCATCGTGTGATGAGGTCTTCCCGGACTGCAGAGGGATCAGCTGGGCGGACGTGGCTGTGATGGACCCAGGTTGCGATGGCGTCTACCTTAAGAGCGGTGGATGTAGTCAGCACCACGACGTGGGGACCCTCCCAACGCGGCTCAAGGGTCTCCCGGCAGTGCCTTTTGACAAAAACCCAGTCTCCCGGTCTGTACTGATGAGGTGTTGGGGTCGGGTCAGCTTCATAGATGGCACGGAGGCACGGCCAAATGTCCTCGTGTGCCCTCTGGAGCCCTCTTAAGAGAAAAGATATTTCTTGATTTTCAAACTCAGCGAGAAGCTCAGCCTTAAGGTTAGGAATGATAGGGGGTGGCCTGCCAAACATGATCTCATAGGGGGTAAAGCCCAGGGTATAAGGAGAGTTCCGTACCCGGTAGAGGGCATACGGAAGGAGAGCCACCCAGTCCCGCCAGTCTCCATGGTTAATTTGGTAAGGGTCTCTTTTAGAGTTCTATTCATCCTTTCTACCTGCCCTGAACTTTGGGGCCTATAGGTATAATGCAATTTCCAATCTGCCCCTATAGCCTTGGGTACTGCCTGTGTTACCTGTGAAATAAAAGCTGGCCCGTTATCTGATCCTATCATAGCAGGAAATCCATAACTGAGTAGGATGTCTTCTACTCAGTTTCTTAGCTACCAACTGAGCTGTTTCACACCTGGTTGGGTATGCCTCTATGTCTATAAATACTAAGAGATATTTATAACCATACTTCCCTGGCTTGACTTCGGTGAAGTCGATCTCCCATTGAGCTCCCGGCTTGGTTCCTCTGAGCCTGGTCCCTTTTTTACTCGACCCAGCCCTCGCGTTCGTGAGTTGGCAGGTCTTACAGGCAGATACAACTTGATCTATTTTGGAGTTTTGCTGGTGAATTTTGATTCCGGCATGCTGGATTAAGTCCTTTAATTTCAGGGCCCCCAGGTGGGTGGACCGGTGCATGTGTTCTAACACTGGGACTCTGAGCCGGTCTGGCAGTATGAGCTCCTTGTCTGGTGTATACCACCATCCCTTTATCTCCTGGGCCAGGGGGAGTTTCCTGATCTGCTGCAACTCCTCCTGGGAGTATCTGGGCTGGTCTGGTAAAACTGGGTTCCCCGGGTCCGGTACTTGTAGGGCCATGGTGGGGACCGAAGTAAGGGCCACTGCCTTGGCTGCCTGGTCAGCCTTTTGGTTACCTCTTGCTACTGGGTCATCAGTCTTCTGGTGCTCTTGGCAGTGGATAATGGCTAACTTGGCAGGAAGCGATAAGGCTGTAAGCAGGATGAGTATCTCCTGCTTATTCTTTATAGTCCGTCCCTCTGCTGTCAGTAATCCCCGCTTCCGATAGATTGCCCCATAAACATGAGCTGTGGCAAACACATAACGGCTATCTGTGTAGATGTTGAGCCGTTTTCCAGCTCCCAGAGTCAGCGCCTTAGTGAGGGCGATGAGCTCTGCTCACTCAGCTGACATTCCGGAGGGTAGAGCTTCTGCCCATACAGTGTTCGTTTCAGTGACCACCACAGCACCCGCGTACCTGTGCCTGTCCCGTATAAAGCTGCTCCCATCCGTGAACCAAGTGGCCTCGGCATCTGGGAGAGGCCGGTCGGTCAAGTCCTTCCGGAATCCATGTACTTGCTCTAGAATTCCCACACAGTCATGTAGTGGGGCATTTGGTCAGGGTCAGGCAGCAAGGTAGCGGGGTTAAGGGCCTCACTGGGGTGGAACCGCACTCTAGGGGGGTTGAGCAGAAGGCTCTGATAATGGGTCATACGTGCGTTGCTCATCCATTGATCAGGAGGCTGTTTCAGGAATCCCTCAATGGCATGCAGGGTTGTGATCCAGATTTCCTGCCCCAGGGTCAGTTTGTCGGTGTCCTTGACTAAGAGTGCTGTTGCCGCAATAATTCTTAGGCACGGCGGCCAGCCAGCAGGTACTGGATCTAGCTTCTTAGACAAGTAAGCTACTGGGCGGCTCCAGGGGCCCAAGGCTTGAGTCAAAACCCCTTTCGCTATTCCTTTGTGTTCATCTACAAAGAGGTGAAAGGGCTTTGTAACGTCTGACAGTCCTAGGGCCAGAGCATCTAGGAGGGCTTTCTTTAACTGATTAAAGGCAGCCTCTTCTTTCTCAGTCCATTCAAACATTAAATTATTTGGTAGCTTCATATAGGGGCCTGGCGAGAGGCGGCAGTAGCCGGCTGATCCTAGGAATTCCCTTACTTCCCTTCGGGAGGTGGGAGTCGGGATCTTCAGGACAGTTTCTTTTCTGGCATCTGATAGCTGCCACTGTCCACCCTCTAGGATGTACCCCAGGTAACTTAGCCTCTCTCTGCATATCTGAGCCTTCTTCGCAGATGACCGGTACCCTAAGGCCCCCAAGGTAGCCAGCAGATCCTGGGTCCCCTGCTCACAGTCCTCGGCCGTGTCGGCAGCAATCAGGATGTCATCTACGTACTGGAGGAGGGTGAGGCTGGGGTGCTCCCTCCTATACTCCCCCAGGTCCTCGTGTAGCACCTCGTCAAAGATGGTGGGCGAATTTTTGAACCCCTGAGGCAACCATGTCCAGGTTAATTGTCCACTGTAGCCCTCCTCGGGGTCGTGCCATTCGAAGGCAAATAACGGTTGGCTTCGGGGCACCAGCAGCAGACTGAAGAAGGCATCCTTTAAATCTAACACGGTATACCAGACTCTAGAGGGTGCCAAGGAGCTCAAGAGAGTATATGGGTTGGGAACTGTTGGGTGTATGTCCATGACACTTTTATTTACTTCCCGGAAGTCCTGTACTTGTCGGTAATCATTCGTGTGAGGCTTCCTGACCAGCAGGAGGGGGGTGTTCCAGGCAGATTGACAGGGAACTAGTACCCCTAGGCTTTGCAGTTTCCAGATGTGAGGCTGGATTCCCTTCCGGGCCTCCTGAGACATAGGGTACTGCTTGATCCTTACTGGGCCTTCTCCTGGTTTTAGCTCTACTAGGATTGGGGTCCTGTGAGCGGCTAGTCCTACCCCACCCCGGTCTCTGCCCAAGCCGTGGGGAATCCTTGTAGCTATCTGTCCATGTTGTTCTCTACTGGGGACGCCTTCTGGTGGAGGCAGTACTCATCCTCCAGTCTCAGAGTCAGGACCTGGATGGGGTGGCCTTTGCCATCAGTGACCTGAGGCCCCCCCTTGTCTGAAAGTTATCTGACCTCCAATCTTGATCAGTAAGTCCCGTCCTAACAGTAGGTAGGGGCATTCCAGTATCACCATGAAGGAGTGGGATACCCAGCCCATCCCTAGATCTACCATTCTTTGGGCAGTCCATGAACACTGGCTCATATCAGTTGCCCATTGTACCCAGGACTTCTTGTTTGCTAGCTTCCCCTGAGGTGTACGGAGGACCGAATGTTGCGCTCCGGTGTCAACAAGGAAGCTAACAGGGGTCCCCTCTACTCTCAGAGTTACCCTGGGCTCGGGGAGGGGGTCCAAACCCCGACTCCCCTAATCACTCAGTTCATCCAGCTCTAAGACTTTCACTCAATCAGTCTTGCTTCCCTTCCCACCGGCCTTCTTTGGACATTCTCGGGCCCAATGCCCTATTTCCTTGCAGTAAGCACACTGATCCTTCTGCATGCAGCCTCCGCCTCCCTTCCCTGGCAGTCTCCTTACCTCTTTTCCAGTCACTCGCAAGCTGTCGGAGGCAGCGGTCCCGTTCCTCGGGAGAGTCCGTGGTGGTAGCCAGCAGAATCCTGGCCAGGTATTGGGTTTGCTTACTGCTGGCAGCTGCCACAGTGCGAGCCTATTTATCTTCTGGGGGCTCCCGGTTGTTGTACACCTTTTAGGCTACTACCAGCAAGTCCTGCAGACTTTTCTCCCCTAGTCTATCTATCTTCTGCAGTTTTCTCCTAATGTCTGCAACAGATTGGTTTACAAAGTCCATGATAACAGCCGCCTTGTTCTCAGGAGCCTCTGGGTCCATGGGGGTATAGGTATGAAATGCCTCCATGACCCGCACTGGGAAGGCCGCTGGAGATTCATCCTTCTTCTGCTGTACATTTCCTACCTTAGCCAAATTAGTCGGCTTCCTAACAGCCATCCAAAGACCCCCCCATTAGAGTCTGGCGGTGGACCCAGAGCCTCTCCTTACCTTCTGCCGTGTTAAAATCCCATTCAAGCCTAGTTAGAGGAAAAGAGGTATCTATCTGAGCCTGGTTGGTGGTATGATTCCCGTCCATGCCTGGGACTAGCTTTCGGGCCTCATTGAGGATCCTCTCCCTCTCCTTGGTGGTGAATAGGACCTGCAAAAGCTGCTGGCAGTCATCCCAGGTAGGCTGGTGGGTGAAAAGAACAGAATCTAGTAAATCAATGAGCCCTGCCGGCTTCTCAGAAAACTTAGGATTCTGAGCTTTCCAATTATAGAGGTCGCTAGTGGCGAAAGGCCAGTAGTGATGGGGCTGATTGCCCCCCTCATCTGGGGGACTGGTGGCTCGCAGGGGTAGAGTCGTAATAGTTGAGTCGGCAACAGAGGCAAACTGCTCTCTCTGAGCCCTTTGTCTGGTATAGGGCGGGCTTCCCACTGGAACTCCTCCGCCCTCCGCACTCGGAGCAGCATCTGCTTCCCCAGATGGGGGGTGGCTGGGTCCCTCCGGCACTCTAGGGGACTGATACGGGGGAGGAAAAATTAGTTCTTCTTCAGTTCCCCCATGCAAGACAGGGTAGGGGGGAGCTTGCCGGGAGCCCGTCCAAGGTCACCTCTCCGAGAAAGGTTGTTTCCCCAGGTAGGGATTTCCCCCTGAAGTTAGGGCGGGAATAAAACCTCTTAACTGCCAGGCGGGTAATTAATCACTTTAACTATGAACAATCATGCTTAAGTACATAATCTTTACTCCCTGGAATGGAGATAAGAAACGCCCTAACCTT